AGATTATGGTATAAGCCTGATGGTGCGTTAATAGTTTGTGTAGCTTATTTTATTATCCATAATTGAGATGTCCTCTTGTACTTCTTTAGAAAAATAAGCACATATTTTGGGTGTCTTTGCTGAGCCCGCAAACCAATAACATCCTTTCACGGTAGTTAGAAGTGCTGAGCTAGGAGTATTCCATTTTAGAAAAGAATTGCAGTCCGTTTTACCAAATAGATTTGCTGCCCATCAAATGTGATATGCGGAGAAAATGCTATTTATGTAGCAACTCGACGTTAAGCACTAACCGACTTTATATTACTTCTCTAACGTCAATAAGCAAGGGATTCGAAAACTGATAGTAATTAGTGCAAGTGAAATTGCATCACTTCATAGAAGAAAATCTGTTTCTCTTGGCACGTACGGCAACTATTGAAGGATAAAGCATAATTGTTTCCTGAAGTTAACACGATACCTCAGTTATTTAACTAAAGAAATCGCCTGCATATTAAAAAAGCGGATGCGCCGCGGTCTCTGGATTTTGCCGTTACTTTGTGTTCTTCTCCTTTGTCTGTTTGTTTTACTACGTATGGTTTACCGCATCTGCAAGGCAAAACGTTTTTTTATACTAACTATTTTTAATGTTTTTTCTTTTAGCTACGGTTATGTGACCCATTTGGCCACACGGGTTTCACCCAAGAAACTCCGCAACTGGTTCTTGGTCTACTCACAGACATGTTGCGGCTGCGTTGGATACCACGCGGTCTGAACAATGAAACTTCCGATCAGCGGCTACCTGACCGACAGTTGTTCTCCAGCAATAAATGTTTCGGCCACTGCACTGCCCCCTCTGCGACTGTTTCTCCTACCCCGGCTCCAGGCGTTAGTGGATTGGCTGCCCTTATGGCACCGACGGGAGCCAATGATTCGGCCAGCTGCTGTCTTTTCTGCCAGGACGTCTGCTATTGGTTTGAGATGGCCAGTCGCCTGTGCCAGCACCTTGCGCCCGCCTCACCCCCGGCTCTTCCAAGACTCGAGTTAACAGTGGAGGCTGTAAGAGCTCTTAATGTTAAACCAGGTAAATGTTCACAAAGGAGCCATGCTCGAGCGGAGATAACTAAGAATTATCTGGTGACGTTGAAACTTGACTGAAAAAAAATAGAGGATCATCTCAGCCACGAAAATAAAATTTAGCTGATGCAAGTTCGTCATCTACCAAGTTACCACTCCCACAGATATCACTGTCTTTGCGTAATCAATGAAGATCACTCTGTAGCTTATATTCAGATTAGCAACTTGAAGATAAAACTATTTTAAATAAGCTTTTCAGCATCGGAAAGCGAATGAAATCACGTCAATGATGCGTCCGAACGTATTATACTTTCGTCCTTATGAGAAATTTTGGTTCAACTAGCAGATTTGCCATTTATGTATGTTGCATTTACCGATATAAACAAAAATTCGAGTCCCAGGAAGCAGTTGGGAAGAATTAGATGCAGTCATTAGAATAGGAACTTTATTTGTCTGGAGTTCTAGATTCGTGTTCGAACTCATCAGCGGAGCCCGCATCAGCTACGGGTAGCCCATACAAAATGCGCTGAAGAATTTGCTGGATGCAGTCGCTACGTTACCTCATACGTATGACAATTAACTGCTCCCTCTTCATGGGGATTGTTGTTCACTGACGCGATGCTTGCATGATGATCGGTATTCGGGTCGGCGAGCCAGCTGGCCGAGCAATCATCATGTCATGTTCCAATACGGACGATGAGCTTTCAGTGATTAGCGACTGTCATTGTGTACATTCATATGCGCAGGTGCGGTCGGCGAAGAATCTACTAGTTTAAATTCTACTCTCCTCTGGAATTCTACTAGTAATAAGTCTTTGAAATGCAAATGGTTTAACTATCAGCTAAAAGTTAAGTTAGTCGTCCACATTAGATAACCCTAGCCCTAGTCATGTGGTTACTTTTCGTTTAATTAGTAAGATACCGCCAACGTTAATTAAAGATACTTAGGTCATTACTATAAACTAAACTTAACTAAGTAAACTAAGCTTATTTAAACAAAACGAACTAGCCTAAAAAGAACCTTAAAAAATCTAAAATTAAACTACTATACTCAACAGTAAACTAAAAACTAGACTAAATTAATACTACCAGTCCCGAAAGACAGAGTTCTGGGGCTTAACGTGTCAATGGCTGGCGATCAACTTAAACTTTACTGATTACCGTTTCTGTCCGTTACCTAGCCCAAAGTAGATATGTGATTTTCAATATTTCCGTAGACGGGAGCAGGACTTCAACAATGGTCTACCATTGCTTTAGCTAAAAATTTTCATGAAGATCTGCCTAAACGTCTTCTAACAATTTTTCTGTCAGACTATCCAAAATGGCGAAAAAATCTCGCCTCTAACGATGCTGTTAAACATGCTGATGCCCGAGCTTTGGATGAAGCAACCTCCTCGTCCTCCTCGGTTGCCAGCGCTAACGCTTCCATGGAACCTAGTGACGCCGACCTTGCCACATTTCCTCCAACTCTACGCCTAATATATCAGCTGTTTCGCTGCCTGATGGGCGTCAAAGGTTGTGCCGGAGTTGCGTACTCTGCATACACGGGGGCCAGTGACTCGCGTCGGAGTACATCGACAGACGAGTCTTCCCGTGTGCCTGCAGATGGTGCCAGTTCTTCATCTACGGCTGCGGGTGAGCTTGATGATAACGCGCCTGGAATACACTCAAACGAAGACACATTCAAGGGTTTCGAGAGCCATCCACCTCGGGATCCCGTGATACTGCGTAACATTCTCGAATGTCTCACCTTCCTTGTGCGCGTTGGCAATGTACTGCAGAACGTACTGACCGCGGCACTTCGGGCAGCAGAGCGTTCCCCACAGCCTGCAAC